ATGGGGATACTTTCTCTATCAAGCAAAGACTGTCGATCCACCTCCAGCCTTGGTGACTATCTCTCGTTTACAAGAAAAACCGCCATTGCCGCCGAGTACGAGTTCATCCACCTAAGTCCTTTCCCTCCAGAAGTGAAGACATTAATAAAAAAATCTTGGCTGGGAAAATTTCTTTGTTCTCCGGAGTCGAGGAAGCACAAGTTACTGCCCCCATGTCGTGAGGAAGTTATACCACAATCTACAACTTTCTGGTCCCTCTGATTCTCATCTTGTGTAGATCTTCTTCGGACATAGAGTCTGCTTTCAGCCTCATCAATTTACTGAGATTCTTGATCTTCCCGCTGGAGGAGACCCCATTGAGAGCAGAAGCGATCTTGGGCGGCTGCACGATTTTGAGTTTGAAGTTGAACTGGCAAAACTCACGAAGGGGGCGCATCCAGGCTTCTTTCCTCCGAGATCCTCTTCGATTCCTCCACTGGTTGATTGTCAACAGCTTCCTTCCAAGGTACCGTGGTCATTCCATTATTCGTAAACTTGACTTGTTTATCCTTGCGCAAGCTCAAAGAGGTGTTCCTGTTAACCTCGCATCTCTAATGTGCCTGAACATGGTCGAAGCTGCTCCCAAAGGGGAAAACTGGTATACTACCTTTCCCTATGCCACCTTCGTCACCACCTTTCTTGAAAGGGTTGGGATGGATCTGAGCGTTTATGTTAAGGAGGACCAGTGCGCTTATTTGTCGGTGTACCATATAGCCGAATTGACTAATACTTTTCTTGAGAATCGGCATACGGAGCATCAAGAGACCCCTGAGGCCTCCTCAAGCAAACGTCCTCGGCTTGCATGAGAGTCGATTGATGCAAGGCAGGGTGGAGCGTTGGAGCAGCAAAGGGGCCAACAATGGATGTCTTTTGTTAACAAGTTTACTAAGTCTTTGTTGGGTTTTTTCCAGTCTTTTGTCTTTTCCTTTATTCTCCAGCACTCAAAACTGTCAGGTACTGAGGGGAGCCAGTACATCATCTGACTAGGAAAGTCTCCTATTTTGATTTCTGAAATGTCCAGACCTGGATTTTTCTATGCATGCAATATTTTTTGAATTTGCCATGGTTAGGATCCTAAGATAGGTGACGAGATGCTGTAATGGTCATCTCCAATGGTGCAATTTTAGTGACTTGCAAGATGATGTGGCAAGGAGGTGCAATTGCATCTTTAAATTGCTATGATGTGAGAAGCTATTGCAAGGGTGCAAATTTGTATCATGTACAATTCTTCTTGCAATTCAAATGGACCCGCTGGTGGGCCCTTTTTTACTCTTTATTAAATATTTTAGATGATGGAGATGATATATAAATTGTTTAGTAGTGGTAAATTAATATGTTGGTCCCACTCATTGAAGTTGCAATTGGATTTCATTGTTGTAAAAAGGATGAAGTTGAGAAGTGGTGTTTTCTCAAAATTGTAGAAGTGGAAGTAGGAACTACCTATGAAATTGCAAATGAATTTCATTGGGGGAGATTTTAATCAACTTTTGTTCTAAGTAGTTCCAATTAGGTCGAAGAATGTGTTACTTATTTCATCTTTAATTTTAATGGTTTTCGAAAATTATGGTTTTATTTATATTTTGTCACAAGTATAGTGATGATAGGCGTGAATAGTATGGATTTTAAATGGCTTGATTATAATAAATTTTGATCTATGGTGATTTTTTTCCTTTTTCATCAAGACTCATGCTTCTTTTATTCCCCCGGTGAATCTATCATGCTTCGTTTATAATAAATATACCTTTTTAATTATACACAATAAAGAATCCATTAATTATGTAACCCTTTTTATTGTAGAGATTTGGCAGAAATCATCGGAATCGCAAAGATTTGGCAGAAATCGGCGATTCGCCTTGGCAGATTTCAGAGAAAATCGGGGATGAGGGCGGTTGGGTGTTTGCGAAAATGAAGGTTTCAGACCCTAACCCTAAAATCGTCCTTTATATATGATGTACCCAACGACGCCGTTTTTTATCGGGGCAGATACGGGGCGGGGATCTCAGAATCCGTCCCCAGCCTGTCACCGCAATCCACGGGCCGCGGGTACACTCGACACCGACAGCTAGCCCGTTTTCGCGGGTTTAAGCCCATCACTAGCGGGCGGGCCATAGCGGATGCCCATGGCCCGTGGGCCCATTGCCATCCCTAATTCTCTCACTAAAAGGGGAGTGCATACATAGTTGGTGGAAATTCAAGGAATGGAAGCCTTTCCATATCCTAGAAACATTAAATTAATTACCTAAGAATTTTCTATCTGCATTGTACGGGGTTTCGTCATTAATTATGCTGATTGGGAGCCAATCAGTTTTACTTTTTGGGTTAACCATACATCAATTCAAATTTAATTAGACAAGGGCAATTGGGAACGAAGTGGAATGATATGATCTCAATTAAATCTCTCTACAAGATACAATGGCTTGAAACAGGAGCAACCTGACTCACAAGTTGGAAGCTGGAATTTTGGTCAAGTCCCTTTGCCATTTCGGGTAGCTCGTTTGGAAGCTTGTTCGTCACGCATGGCCCGATGAAAATGAGATTTTATTGATTTGTATTGATCCTGGGATTACTTGGGAGCTGGAGATCAAGTCCAGAAGGTCCCTTTTCATGTTGTGCAAAAGTGTAACTGGAAAGCTGGAAATTGCCAGTTGTTGGCTAAGGTAGTAGCCAGGTTAAAGCTAGATACTTTGAGACTCGATTTGGAAGGGATGGCTTCGAGTTGCGACTTTAATTATGGACGAGTTGCGACTTGCCTAATTGGCAGAGGGGTTTAAAAGCAATTTGTTATTGAAGAAGACCCCAATAGCGTACATGCCTACTTGGCATAGGGTTTTAAAAGTAAACTCCTTTCTGAAAAGTCAATATAGTTCCACGAAAAAACAAATATAGAAATTATTCACCAAACCAAAAATGGTTGTCCATCATCTTGAAAAAAAACGCAAAATCAGGTTTTCCTTGGGCTCTTTGACTGGGTTTCCTTGTGCTATTCTCTTTCCTTTTTCATCCTTTCATGGGCTTTCTTGTACTCTTCGACTACAACTTCAACTTGAGGTGCAATTGTTCTTGCTTTCGTGAGCACCGTATGCCTTATGTAGTTCATGGGCTCTCGAACAAGGTACAAAGCGATTTGCATCCTCCTCACTTGAGTGCATGGCTATCAACATCAACAAACATGGTGCTTAACGCATGATTCAAAAATAACAAACAAGTGTGGTTTTCCAATATGCGAACTAGAATTGTCTTTACCCAAATATAAGAGGAGTCCCAGCTTGCGCCATACATCCACATGCAGACCCAGACTCCACTGTCAGACCTACATAAAATGAAAACATTGCATGATAAACAAGTTGATAGGCCGTCGTTTAATATCACGCAAAATGGACATACTTACCGATGTAGTTGTTCTTGATCCTTTGAAGAATTTGTGTACGAAAACTCCGCAATTCTTGGTGGCGACAATCCCGGACCTTGTTCACGATAGAGAATCTTCCACAAGGCTTGCATAAATTCCATCTGTACAAATTAAGAAACGTTTGTATTTAAAAAGAGGTATTTACATTTTTTTGCGTTTTAATGGCACAATGTCACAAATTTACCATTGTTTGAACAGATTGTAGTTGAAAGGAATTGCGGTCTTCAGTTGGTTGTGGATCTAAGATATGGACTTCTTCCTTGTCCAACTTAATGACAACCAAGTACCAATGGGCATTATCTCTCATCGGAACACACACCTACATATGCGGAAATTGTCAACACGTATTAAAAAAATAATCTGCAAACCATGTAATACTTGTTAAGACGAACATTTACCTTGTTCACCATATTGGTTCGACTAAGGAATTTTGATTCGTATAGGTCTAATGCCCTCTTGGGTGTTATTGCACATGAAATCACTAGTTCCTGCCCATGTGGTAGTTGCACAATTGAAATTTTATCTACACAATATCATTCACGTTAAAAAAAACATGTGTTGTATTTGTTTGCTGACAGGAAATTAATCTTAAGCAAAATCGGACCACAACCTGTAGTTCAGCAGGCAGATAGCACACTCCTTTTCCGTCCTTAGAATTTGTCCACAACTCTTCTAGAGTCAAGTGACAGACCAGCGCTGCTATAACCTAATATAACATGAAAAAAACACTTCATGATACTATAGATTTTTTACAAAATATTTCTACGTAGAAAGCATGGATAGTGGACAAATGATAGACCATTGATTACACATGTTTTTACCCCTATCCATGAGCCGTTTGAGATGTTGATTCTCGCGTTTTAGGCCGATTTCACGCTAGGTTGTTCTTGTTTGTGATATTTCAAGTCCTAGTACGTGAATGAAGTTTTAGGAACGAGTTCGGGGTCGATTGGACGAAGTTTGGACGTTTGGCGAGAAGCTGAGAAGCCACACGGGCATGCCTAAAAGCCACACGGCCGTGTGGGTCGTGGCCGTGTAGGAAGCCTGAAGCCAAACGCTGCGGTTTGCACAACTCACACGGGCGCTGGGGATGTCACACGGCCGTGTGAGTCGGGATTTTCTGGTTTTAAGCCAATTTTCAGCAGAGGAGTAGGGAGTTCCGAGTTTTAGAGAAAGGAGCGATTCCTAGAGAGAGAAAGCGACGAACCAGAGTTCTCAAGTGCCCTAGATTGATCTTCAACAACATTGGAGCTCGGCTTACACTTGGAGAAGTGCTGATTGACGACCAGGAGCAGATTCTCATCCTTTACAACATGATTTCTGCATCTGAACTTGCTTTTGCTTCTCTCTCCATGGAGTAGTTTTCCCATTCATCTGGGTATGGAGAACCCTAGATTTGTGTGTTAGGTCTGATTGTATGAACCCAAGTACAGATTCTATGATTTGATTATATTCAATTGAGGCTTGAATGATTGAATGACTTGAATCCTGATCAAATTCCTGTTATTTCTGCTTTAGCCTATAAAGAGAATATCTGCCTAGGTTAATAGAGCACCCTTAATTGAAGGTAGTGAATTGGCGACTTTAGTCGAGGAGCCAATTCACTATTTTGTACCGAATTTACTTCGGTAGTGGAGGTTTGGTTCGTTAGGGCCTCAATCTGTTTACTCCGGTGGAGGTTAGTCGCCCGCTGGGGACTCAGATTGAGAGGGTCTGGAGACCTTTAGTCGAGACTTCAGACTGCTTAAGAACCTCCCGCAGTATAACTATCATTAAAAGTGAACTTGATAAATTGCAATCCGGCTTGACTGTAGTCTAGGGGGAACCATATCCGGGTGACCTCTCTCGACTTGAAACAACCGTTTAATTGCTTTGCTTGTTTGCTTAATTGAACCTGCACTAAAGTTTCACTGCTAGATAATAAGAATTCACTGAGTAGTCATCACATCTAGGACCCGGGTTGACAATAAAACTCAAACCCGCTATACTACGCTCTAGGAAGTAGTTACACTTGGCCATTTTCTAGGGTGACAGTAGGAGTGAGTCAAGTTTTTGACGCCGTTGCCGGGGACGGCTAGGTTGTTGAAGAAACGTGAATTCTGTTAATTTAGCTATTCTTTTCGCATTGTTTGATTTGTCACAATTGTGCCTTCACGGGTTTGCTTGCTTGACTGTGTGCAGGTAGTGCATGACCCGTAACCAGTCGGGAAGTTTACTGCCATTGAATTTGGAGCTTGAACGCACCTGCCGCCAACTTAGGAGACAACAACGAGCTAGACTGGCTACGAAAGAGCGCACAGACGGCCACTTGAGTAGCGATTCTGAGGAAGAGTACGAGATGGAAGGCAAACACAGCCCACCCCAGGGGAATCCTCTCCAGGTTCCCCCGGTGAATCTGTTCTTGGGGAACAACCCCATACCCCAAGCAGATGGATTTCATCATCATCGACCGCCGCCGGGTCCCACCTTGGAGTACTACTACACTCCACGGATTGCTGACATCCGCCCTGTCATCCTCTATCCGCCCATTCCAGCGAACAACTTTGAGATCAAGCCATGCTGGATTCAACTCATTACATCCTCTATCCAGTTCCATGGCTTGAAGGATGAGGAGGCAAGGGTGCATCTTTCCCGTTTTCTGCAGCTGACGAATGGGTTCAAGCTAAACGGTGTCCCTGATGACGCAATCCGCCTTCACCTCTTCCCCCATTCTCTGGCGGGGAATGCTAAGAGGTGGTTGGAGACCCAGCCCCCATTGTCCATCACTTCTTGGGACGATCTGGCCAACAAGTTCGTGCACAGGTACTATCCGGCATCGAAGACCACAGAGATCCAGCGGGAGATCACTCACTTCCGCCAAGAGCCAGACGAGTCACTTCGTGATGCATGGGAGCGGTACATGGGATTTTTCTGGCACTGTCCCCATCATGGCTTCAGTGATGCATTCACCGTGGGGAACTTCTACAGTGCTCTCGCTCCGGACAGCCAGAGGGTGATTGAGTCTCTATGCCCAGGAGGGGATATTCTTACTAAGACCCCACCCGAACTGAACCAGATGATCAGTACACTGGCTGCAGATAAACCATTAATTGCACATGTTTTTACTCCTATTCTGGAGCCGTTTGAGGTGTTGATTCTCGTGTTTTAGGCCGATTTCATGCTAGGTTGTGTTTGTTTGTGATATTTCAGGTCCTAGCAAGTGAATGAAGGTTTAGGAGCGAGTTCGGGGTCGATTAGACGAAGATCGGGCGCGAGGCAAGTCACAAAGGAAGCCACACGGGCACACTCACACCTCACACGGCCGTGCAAGTGACCAATTTGGCCGTGTGGGATTGTGCGAGCCTTCACACGGGCACAGGTAAAATCCACACGGCCGTGTGAAGTTGCAATTTGGACGTGTGGAATTCTGCGAGGCTTCACACGGCCAGGCTGGGTGAGCTACACCGCCGTGTGCCCCTGGCCGTGTAGGAGCCTGAAACCACATAATCGGAACGCGGCGTTTTGTGTCTCACACGGGCAACTGGGTATGCCACACGACCGTGTGACCCTGCCCGTGTGAGTCGGGATTTTCTGGTTTTAAGCCAATTTCCAGCCACAAGTTGGGGGATTCGAGTTTTAGAGAGACAGAGCGATTTCTAGAGAGAGAAAGCGACGAACAAGAGTTCCCAAGTGCCCTAGCTTGGTCTTCATCACCATTGGAGCTTGGCTTGAGCTTGGAGGAGTGCCGATCAATGTCCAGGAGCAGGAATCCATCCTTCACAGTATGGTTTCCGCATCTGAATCTGCTTTTGCTTCTTTCTCCATGGAGTAGTTCTCCCATTCATCTGGGTATGGGAAACCCTAGATTTGTATGTTAGGTCTGATTGTATGAACCCAAGTACAGATTCTATGTTTTGATTATATTCAATTGAGGTTTGAATGATTGAATGGCATGAATCCTGATCAAATTCCTGTTGTTTCTACTTTAACCTAGAATGAGAATATCTGCCTTGGTTGATAGAGCATCCTTGATTGACGGTAGGGAGTTGGTGACTTTAGTCGAGGAGCCAACTCACTATTCTGTACCGAATTCACTTCGGTAGTGGAGGTTTTGTTCGTTAGGGCCTCAATTTGTTTACTCCGGTGGAGGTTAGTCGCCCGCTAGAGACTCAGATTGAGAGGGTCCGGAGACCTTTAATCGAGACTTCAGACTGTTTAAGAACCTTCCGCAGTATAACTATCATAGAAATTGGACTTGGTAATTGCAATCCGGCTTAACTGCAGTCTAGGGGGAACCATATCCGGGTGACCTCTCTCGACTTGAAACAACCGTTTAACTTGCTTTGTGTTTTTGTTTTTTGAACCTGCACTTAAGTTTTACTGCTAGATAATAAGAATTCACTGAGTAGTCATCACATCTAGCAATGCAGTCAAAATCTCGATTTTAAGTAAAATCGAAAACTGAGGTAGAATCGAAATCGTAGATTAAAATCGTAAAATCGTAAGATTTTAAGGTTCATATTAAAATAAATACTTAAAACACTAGATAGTAATAAAAATGCATATCTTGAATAACAATCAACCACATAAAGCATAATTACTTCCCAAGATAAGTTTGTTTGCTAAACAAACACAACTAATCCATATATATATATATATATATATATATATATTTTCTTGTACATAATAGAAATACACAAATAAGAAACCTGAAACATTATAGATATCACTGTTAATTAATTGTTAAGAGTAGAAAATCACATAAGATCGTTAGGACCAACATTAACATAACTTACACATCATCGTTATCATCCTCAACCTCACCGTCACTCTCATCGTTTTTATTTGTTTAAGGACGAATATCATTACTCTTATGATCACTTGAAGTACTTTCACCATTAACCATATTTCTCATTGATTGATGCATTCCCTTCTTAATTGATAAAAGGTCGGGTTAGTGGTGCTGAAGGATTGGGAGATGAACAAAAGCTTGCAATGTCATGCAGATTTGGATTATTGTGAAGGTGGTGGGAACAAACTACAAGCTAATTGGGAGGGTGGAAGATATCGTTGATCGAAGGAGTTGGGCGCCGACGTGCGAAAGAGGAAGATACGAGGAAGAGAATGAAAATAAATTGAGGGTTAACTATCAGGTTGGGGTTGTGTTGTTCATTATGTTGGGTTGGGGAAGGTAAATTTGACTCGGTTCACGGGCATAACCCAACTTGACCGGCCTATTTTTGATCCAATTGATATGAACCTTGAAATCGTACAAAATCGTAGAAATCGTAGATTTTATGGATTTTAGAGTTTTAAATCGGGATTTTATGGGATTTTAAGGTTCAAAGATTTTACAGTAAAATTAGGATCGGAACCCATAGGTAAGATCGTAAAATCGTAAGATTTTAAGATTAAAATCGGGATTTTGACTACATTGACATCTAGGACCCGGGTTGACATTAAAACCCAAACCCGCTATACTACGCCTCAGGAAGTGGTTTCACTTGGCCATTTTCTAGAGTGACAGTAGGAGTGAGTCAAGTTTTTGGCGTCGTTGCCGGGGACGGCTAGGTTGTTGGAGAAAAGTGATTTCTGTTAATTTAGCTTTTCTTTTCGCATTGTTTGCTTTGTCCCACTTGTGCCTTCACGGGTTTGCTTGCTTGAGTGTGTGCAGGTAGTGCATGACCCGTAGCCAGTCGGGAGGTTTACTGCCGTTGAATCCAGAGATTGAACGCACCTGTCGCCAACTTAGGAGACAACAGCGAGCTAGACTGGCTACGGAGGAGCGCATAGACGACCATTTGAGCAGCGAGTCCGAGGACGAGTACGAGATGGAGGATTACAATCCACACCAGGGGAATCCTCACCAGGCTCCCCCGGTAAATCAGGTCTTGGGGAACAACCCCATACCCCAGGCAGATGGGGCTCATCATCATCCACCGCCGCCGGGTCCCACCTTGGAGTACTACTACACTCCACAGATTGCTGACATCCACCCGGTCATCCTCTATTCGCCCATTCCAGCAAAAAACTTGGAGATCAAGCCATGCTAGATTCACCTCATTACATCCTCTATCTAGTTCCATGGCTTGAAGGATGAGGAGGCAAGGGTGCATCTTTCCCGTTTTCTGCAGCTGACGAACGGGTTCAAGCTGAACGATGTCCCTGATGATGCAATCCGCCTTCACCTCTTCCCCCATTCTCTGGTGGGGAATGCCAAGAGGTGGTTGGAGACCCAGCCCCCACTGTCCATCACTTCTTGGGACGATCTAGCCGACAAATTTGTGCACAGGTACTACCCAGCATTGAAGACCACAGAGATCCAGCGGGAGATCACTCTCTTCCGCCAAGAGCCAGACAAGTCACTTCGTGATGCATGGGAGCGGTACATGGGATATTTCTGGCAGTGTCCCCATCATGGCTTCAGTGATGCATTCACAGTGGGGAACTTCTACAGTGCCCTCTCTCCGGACAGCCAGAGGGTGATTGAGTCTTTGTGCCCAGGAGGGGATATTCTTACTAAGACTCCACCCGAGCTGAACCAGATGATCAGTACCTTGGCTTCTAGAGATCATTCCTGTGGGCAGAGCAGCAGAGGCAGAGATTCCAGGGACCGTGGTGGGCAGAGCAGCAGAGGCCAGATCCGAGCTTGAGCAGCAGGTGGCCGAGTTAGTGAAGACATTGAAGCAGCCCAATAGTCTTATCTCGGGCAGAGGTCTGGCTACACCTCCAGTAGCTCAATGTCAGTGGTGTGAGAGCCCAAATCATCTGGTGGAAGACTGCCAGACTATGCGGGAGTCAACTACCCCCAAGAGCAGTTGGACTTCATCGCCAATGCTCGGCGCTTTGACCCCTACAGCAATGCATATAATGAGCGGTGGGGCCAGCATCCCAACTTCGCTTGGAGTAGCAAAACCACTAAGCCACCTGGTTTCCCAGCACCAGCTGGTGGCCTTCAGCAGAGGCAGCCCTTCCAGGCTCGACAGGGGGCCAGCCCCACAGCTGCAGCCCTACCAGCCTAGGCAGGGGCAACCATACCAGCAGCCCCAGTGTTAGTTTGCCGAGCCAGCAGCAGCTTTGGCTCCAGATACTCAGATGACGCAGCTGAAAAACATTCTAGCGGCATTCATGACTACCACCCAGCAGAGCATAGCCTCACTGGAGGAAGGTCAGAGGAACCAAGGTGCCATTTTGCAAGATTTGCAGAACCAGATGGGTAGCATGGCTCGCCAAAACACTACCAGGGCACCGGGGTCTCTGCCTGCCACCACTATTCCGAATCCGCGTGAGCCTCACCAGCACCAGCAGCTAGATGCCATCACTACCAAGAGTGGCAAGACCACATCTGCTACTCCTTCCCAGCCCAGCCAAGATGAGTCACTACCTGCTTCAACACTCCCAGCTGATAATGCAGAAGTGGGGGGAGACAAAGAAGCACCTGCTCCCAAGCCATAGCCACTGGTTAAGGAGCATGTACCCCAGCTTCCCTTCCCCACTCGCCTACATAAAGACAAGCTGGAGACTGAGTTTGCCAAATTCATAGCAATGTTGAAGCAGGTCAACATCAGCATGCCATTCGTGGAGGCACTCTCGAAGATGCCCAAGTACGCCAAGTTCATGAAGGACCTCCTCACCAACAAGAAGAAACTTGGGGATCTTTCGACAGTGATGCTGAGCAAGGAGTGTTCTGTTATCCTGTAGAACAAGCTGCCTGAGAAGCGTAAAGACCCAGGGAGTTTCACTATCCCTCTTGTTATTGGCAGCATGCATGTAGGAAAGTCCTTGGCGGACCTAGGTGCTAGCATAAATGTCATGCCCTACAAATTGTTTAAAAAGCTAGACCTAGGTGAACCTAGAGCTACTAGGATGAGCATTCAGTTAGCTTATCGTTCCATCGTGCATCCTAGGGGTATCATTGAGGATTTTCTTGTTAATGTGGGTGCATTCACATATCCTGTTGACTTTGCTATTCTGGATATAAATGAGGATGTGGATGTACCTTTGATTTTGGGTAGACCGTTTCTCGCCACCGCCAAGGTGCTTATTGATGTGCATAGTGGTAAATTGATTCTGCGTGCTGGTGATGAACATGCTAGGTGAGCGCTGTATTTTGGTAGGTGAGCGCTGTATTTTGCTAGGTGAGCAGGCATCGCAGGAGCCGCAGCGGGCGGAGCAGTTGGCCGCGCTGGAGAGTGGCCCATTCTTGGAGGGTGACAGGCTGTTCAAGCCGATCTCATCCTCACCCCGCATCACTACCTCCTTGGAGGAGCCACCAGAGCTGGAGCTTAAGCCCCTCCCTCCTCATTTGGAGTATGCATTTCTCCGGGAGCGGAATAAGCTTCCAGTCATCATCAGCTCGACCCTCACGCCCGAGCAGAAAGACAGACTGGTGACCTTGTTGCAGCGGTACGAGCGAGCCCTAGCATGGAAGATCACAGATATTCGGGGGATCAGCCCCTCCTTTTGGTCCCAGCGGATACTGCTGGAGGATGAGATGCGGCCAGTGAGACAGCCGCAGAGAAGACTGACACCGAACCTAGAGGCTGTGGTTCGGGCAGAGATCGTGAAGCTGATGGACGCAGGGATCATCTACGCCATTTCTGACAGCGAGTGGGTCAGTCCTACCCAGGTGGTACCAAAAAAGGGTGGGATGACAGTGGTGCCTAACGAGAAGAATGACTCTCTCTTTCTGGAATGCACCGCCTGACCCGTTCATCATCATTCACCCTTGATCTGGTAACTTCGTTCTACCCTCCGTATCTTGCCTCCATTGAGGACAATGTCGTGCTTAAGTGTGGGGGGTGTTCGATTATTTATGCGGGTGAATGTTTGGCTGTTTGTGTGCTTGGAGCCTAGTCCACTGTCAAAATCTCGAGATTTGAGGGCTCCAAGTACTGCTGTTTGATCATATTGGCACTGTGTTTTGATTGGTGAGTTGAATGGTTTTCGGATTGATGCATGACAGCTTGATTGTGACTAGGACGACCTATGATGAGGACTGAGACGTGCAGTAGAATTGTGTAGGGGTTCAGTTTTTCAACTGTTTGCTTACCAACTGTGACTTGGATTGATTACTTGTTCTTGACAGTCGTTTATGCATCTAGTTCAGGGTATCAGAATGTGAGATAGAGCATATAGGTAGCCATGTGAGATTTGAGCCTGCTCGTTTCTTTCTTGTGTGATAGATCCCTCTTCCATGATGTGTAGCATTCACGTTGTCACTAGCTAAGATGATGGGGGCATAGGATTAGCCCATGACCAAATTTGACTGTCCTGATGTGTCATATCCCCTAGTCAGCCCTTTTAAGCCGTGTGTTATCCTTTCTTTTGGTCTGAAATGAAAAAAAATCACCCTTTTGCATCTTTTAGAAGGTTCCACAGAGTGGTTTTTACATATTCTCTGCTGTTTCTGCTAAATTTGATGTGAGTGTTGGAGGTAGTGCTTAAAAGTTAGGCTGGGCATGTGTTTGAAATATGTGCAGAAGTGGTGGCTCTCTTAAGAAA